CCCCAAAACCCCAAAACCCCAAAACCCCAAAACCCCAAAACCCCTAATTTGATTAGCATCTTGAATTTTATTCGTGTCGAATAAAGATTCCAAGAACCTTAAAACCAACGAAAACCTTTATTTTTAGGATATCCGAAATAAGAACATAAATGTTAATATTACTTAGTTTTTCTTTGCAGTAGATGTTGTTGTGGTGGTGGCTGGCTTAGAAGCAGCTGGTTTGGCAGCAGCTGGCTTGGCAGCAGTTTTGGTTGCAGCTGGTGCAGCTCTCCATCCATCTCTCCAAGCCCAGTCATCAACAACAGGGGCTCCCCATCCTTCAACGACAGGAGCTCTCCATCCTTCAACAGCAGGAGCTCTCCATCCTTCAACAACAGGAGCTTCCCATCCTCCAACAACAGGAGTTTCCCATCCGTTCCAGCCGTATCCGTTCCATCCGTTGTGCCAGTTGTCCCAGCCGTCGAGTCCATATCCCCATTCTGGGACACCCCATGGTCCATCAATATGTCTCCAGTCGTCTACGAATCCTGCTGCTGGAACTTCTCTAACAACAGCTCCATCAGCTCTCCAGGCTCCAGCTGGGAGGACTCCATCAACAGCAGCAACTCCCCATCCGTTGTCCCATCTTCTCCAGCCATCTCTCCAGTCAAGAGCACCATCTCTGTTCCAGTCAGCTCTCATCCAGTTTCCATCCCATGGTCTCTCACCTCCGAGCCAGAAGTCGTCTCTCCAGTCAATGACTCCATCTCTGTTCCAGTCATGAGTGAGTCTCCAGTCATCAGCAACTCCCCATTCATTACCCCAAGTCCAGGCTGGGTCGACAACACCTCCTCCTACGAAGTGGGCGGCAGAAATTCCTACCATTAGCACCATAGTCGCTACAAAGATCTTCATTTTATTTTTATATAAATAGATTTGCACAGTTGGGAATAAATAGGTGATTCAGTAAAGTGATCAAGGATCGGGGTTTTGGGGTTTTGGGGTTTTGGGGTTTTGGGGTTTTGGGGTTTTGGGGTTTTGGGG